AATGTAGATCTTAAACTCATGATGAAAGTTTTGGCCACCAGAATAAAATCTTTCTTGGCCCAAATATATCCAGCTCAATCAAAAGGGGTTTGTTCCCAACAGACAGGCCCCAGACCAAACAAGACAGTCGATATTATCTCAGCGATACATTCTGAATTGGATATTTGAGGTGTTAGGAGAATCATGCTATTATCACTTGATTTACAACAGGCCTTTGACTCCTTGTCATTGGACTATCTGTTTTATAAGCTTGAAAAATAAGGGTTTGATCCTAAATTCCTGACCATATGGAGAATGCTATATAGAGAACCCACGGCTGGACTATTGGTGAAGGGATATAACTCCCAATGTATCAATATACACAGAGGCACCCGCCAAAGCTGCACCCTATCTTCAATCTTGTTTATTCTGGCCTTGGAACCCATAACTATAAAACTCAGAACTAATGTTGACATACAAAGTATCAACTGTGGAGATCGCAAACACAAATGCACCCTGTTTGCGGTCGACATATTGATGTTACTCTTTTCCCAGCTCATCTCTATCCCTAATTTTATATTCCAAGGATTTTAATAATTGGATGAAGAATCCCCCTTCATGGTTCGGCTGATTGTACACAATTAAAATTAACATTTTACTCAGGATATTATATTTGTTTAGAACATTTCTGGTGGGAATCAATATGCCTGCTCTTAAAAAGTTTCAACAGAAATTGCTAATTTTATAAGGGGAGATGATACCTTTCGGTGAAGAGGCGCGCATTCTATACTCCTAAATCGAGAGGAGGCCTGGGAGTTCCTGACCAAGCTAAATAATTTTACTGTGCGCAACTGGCAGGTAAAGATAGACCTGCAACTTTATGCCAAATTCTATCTTTTGCGTAAATTTATGGAACAGACTGGCTATGGGAGAGAGAGAGAGAGAGAGAGAGAGAGAGAGAGAGTGTGTGTGTGTGTGTGTGTGTGTGTTTTTGTGTGTTTTTGTCAAGGCAATTCTTGCATGAACATTTTTTTTATTATGTCAGGTACTTATATAGCGCCGTCAATTTACGCAGCGCTTTACATATATATTGTACATTCACATCAGTCCCTAACTCTCAAGGGGCGTACAATCTAAAGTCCCTAACTTACATTCATACATACACATACTAGGGCCAATTTAGACAGGAGCCAATTAACCTACCAGCATGTCTTTGGAGTGTGGGAGGAAACCGGAGTAGCCGGAGGAAACCCACGCAGGCACAGGAAGAACATGCAAACTCCAGGCAGGTGGTGGGGATTTGAACCAGCGACCTTAGTACTGCCAGGCGGAAATGCTAACCATTTAGCCACTGTGCTGCCCATATAAAATGCTAATTGCCTCATACAGAACACCCAAATAACCCATTTCCTGGCTTCTCTGGAATGCAAGTCTTATACAGTGCATTCACAAAGCATTCAGACCGCCTTTACTTTTTTTCAATTTTTTTTTATATGTTGCAGCTTGCTAATACAGTTGTTTAAATTCATTTTTTTCTCATTATTCTACACTTAGTACTCCATAATGAGTAAAAAGTGAAACAGAATTTTAGAAATGTCTGTGAATTTATTAAAAATAAAAAACTGAAATATCACATTGGCATAAGTATTAAGACCCTTTGCAACAACAAGTTAGTTCAGGTGCCTCCCATTTCTCTTGATCATTTCTGAGATGTTTCTACACCTTACTTGGAATGCATCTGTGGTAAATTAAATTGACTGGACATGATCTGTAAATAAATGACCTCACAGCTGACAATGCATACTATATCATAAATTCAACTGCACTTAAGGTTCACAAGAGCACAGTGGCTTCCAAAATTTTCAAATGGAAGAAGTTTGGCACAACCAGGACTTTTCCAAGAGCTGGTCACCCGGCCAAACTGATCAATTGGGGGAGAAGGGCCTTAGTAGGAGAGGTGACCAAGTACCCGATGATCACTAACTGAGCTCCAGAGATCCTATGTGGAGATGGGACAAAATTCAAAAAGGACAACAATCATTGCAACCCTCCACCAATCTGGGCTTTATGGCAGAGTGGCTTGACGGAAGCCTCTCCTCGGTGCAAAACACATGAAAGCCTGCTTGGAGTTTGCGAAAAAGCACCTGAAGGGCTCTTAGACTGTGAGAAAAAAAGATTGTCTAGTCTGATGAAACTAAGATTGAACTGTTTGGCCTCAATTCTAAACGATCTGTACGGAGGAAACCAAGCACCACTCATCACCTGCCCAATACCATCCCAACAGTAAAGCATGGTGGTGGCAGCAGAGACTTGGAGACTGGTAAGGGTTGAGGGAAAGCTGAATGGATCATTTTCAATGAAAACATGTTTCACAGTGCTCAGGACCTCAGACTGGGCCGAAGGGTACCCTTCCAATATGGCAACTATCCTGAGCACACAGGCAAGACAACACAGGAGTGGCTTAGGGACAGCTCTGTGAATGTCCTGGAGTGGCTCAGTCAGAGCCCTGACTTAAGCCCTAATGAACATCTCTGGAGAGACCTGAAAATGGCTGTCCACCAAAAGTCCCCATCCAACCTGAGTAACCTTGAGAAGATTTTCAAAAAGAATGGTAGAAAATTCCCCAATCGACGTGTGCAAAGCTTGTTACCCAAAAAGATTTGAGGCTGTAATTGCTGCTAAATATGCTTTAAAAAGTACTGAGTAAAGGGTCTGAATACTTAAAAAAGAGGTGTGGGATTGCTTTTTTCCACAATTATACTTACCTAGGTGGATGTTGCACCTGTCCCCCTCTGGGTCTAAGTGTGAGAACTCAGTGATCACATGACCGTTCTCGCAGCCGCTCTCAGTCTCCGCTGTCTGCCCTGCCCTCCCCTCCGGGCTCACTGAAGCGCTGGACTGTGAATGGAGAGGGAGCCTCTGGGGTGGTTCCCGACTTTAAAGTTGGAATCTTTCCCCAGCCTGAACCGGCTGAGTGATGTCAGCTGACAGCCCACTGTCAGCTGCAAATGGGCCACAGGAGTGCAGAACGGACTGCACTCCTGTGATCCACAGGAGAAGTACAACCAAAGGAGCTTTAGTTGTACTTCTCCAATTAAATAAATGTGATATTTTGTTTCTTTTTAATAAATTCACAGACGTTTCTACAATTCTGTTTTTACTTTGAGTGTAATGAGTGTAGATTATTGAGGAAAAGAATTAATTTAAACAACTGTAGTATCAGAATTGAAAAAAGTGAAGATGGTCTGAATACTTTATAAATGCACTGTACATACTAAGTAATGTGTAATTGTAACACTTAACATTTAGTGCCTTTTCAGCACAGAAAGAAATAGGTCTGCCCCTGCTTCCTGGACTGCTAGATCTTGGTCCAGAGATGCCAGTTCTGCAAATCCCCAGGCTTTGCATTAGTATGTCTCTATCAAGCTGTAACATGTCATTATGGGGTACAGAGTGTAGACTAATGAGACAAAAATGAACTTAAAGCAGAGCTCCACCCACAAGGCGAAGTTCCAGTTTAAGCCTTTGTCCCCGCTCCCCATTAAGGATTGGCACCGAGGCGATCGGAAGCAGAAGTTGTCCTCCCCCCCTCTCTCCCTGTAGTCTTCTGGGACATGTGACAGGTCCCAGAAGACTATGGGACCATTCACAAAGCGCAGTGCTTCTTGCACATGTGCAGTGGGCACCCAGCTGTGAAGCCGCAAGCTGTTACAGCCAGGTGCCCACATTGAAGATGGCCAGTGAAACCAGTCGTGGTGAGGACACCGCTGGACCGAGGGACAGCTGTCTGTATTTTAAAAGTCAGCAGCTTTTGGTGATCTGCGTTTTCCCATTGGGTTTGCATCTCCACAGGCTTTTTGCTGGTGGTATGGCTGCGCTCTTATTAGGCTTTCAGATTTTCAGAGGCTTTTATATCCTATGATATGCTACATACGATATTTGACATCCCGCTTAGTGAACATTTTCACTATCGACAAATTTGACACTTTTTCGGTTCCCACTTTGGCTTGACGCCCTCACCCCCGATTACTTATTTTGAACGTATCAGTCATGACTCACCCAGGGGTAGGGGTCTTATCTCAGATTTATATCGCTCTTTATTACAGATCATTTTTCCCTTGCCCCCTTTGTATAGACAGAAATGGGAGAGTGAGTGTGGGGTTATGTTCTCCAATGAGGACTGTGTGGAGAATAGGAGAATATACGGTGGATATATACAGTTGTGTTCAAAACAGTAGCAGTCAGACATCACTTACCTGATCAATCACTGTTTTTGGTAGAAATGATATTTCTACATGGTAAATAATTTACTAGCAGGTGTAGTAGAGTAATAGAAATCCAACAGACCCAACAGTCATGACATGCATGCTGCTGATTCTGTGTAATTGAATCACTCATTGAAAGGGGCATGTTCAAAATAATAGGGATCAGGGTAGTGGTCCATCCCCTTCGGGGGAAGGACAAAGCCCTAAGTGCACTTTTTTTGTGGTGTTTTGCACTTGCACTTTTTTTGTGAACACTTACGGGTTTTTCGTACATTTGCGGACTTAAAAAAAAAAAAAAAAAAAAAAAGGTAGTGAATGAGAAAAGTGCAGCCAGGCAATCAGCATTTTCAGAAGGAGGCAGTGTACTCCCTCATGCCAGGGGATGCCAGTCTGGGCTGGTTTATCATGTTGTCCTGCGCCCTCCGCCTGTACACGGAGCCATTCCTCTACAACTCAGGGAGAGCTCCCTCCATAGAGGAGACCATGGGGGCTGATCACGTGACTCCCGCCGGCCTGTCACACATCGGGACGAATCTGTCGCTCCTAATGAGAAGTCTCTTGTGGTTTGTGGTCGGTCTACGGCCAGGCCTGGGGAAAAAATATCCGCGGACCGCACAGACCGGAGAACACAGTGTGACACGTCGTGGGCTCTGTCAGCTGGCTCTGGACTTTTCCTGACCGGCTTTCTGTGTGGAAAGTGCGGGCCGGAATCAGTCACGTGTCAGTGTCATGGCGGCGCCCAGTGGAAGCTTCACGATGACCCCCGGTGCCCAGTCCACCCCTGTCCCTCCGAGGATGGCACCCTGCAGTACAGTATGATATTGGAGCACCTGGTGGGGGAGAAGAGGAGACCGAGGGAGGTGATCCCGGGGGGCCTCGGAGGGGTCCCCACCCCCATCAAATCCGATGAGCAGAAGATGATGGAGCGAGTGATGGAGAGCTGTGCCTTCAAAGCGGCCCTGGCCTGTGTGGGAGGTGAGTGTGAGGGGCCACGGGCCCAGGAGTGGTCCTAGGGTCTGGAATCATTCCTCCCATCATTGACATGGATCATCTGCTCCTCAGGATGGATAGTCAGGAGACACCCAGCCATGAGACATCTGTCCATACTACGTCCCACCAGGAGACACGTCTCTGTCCTCGGTCCCACCAGGAGACATCTTTCCATACATGGTCCTCAGTCCCTCCAGGAAACATGTCTCCGATCCTGGGCCCACCAGGGAGACACCCAGCCAGGAGACATCTGTCCATACTACGTCCCACCAGGAGACATGTCTCCGTCCTTGGTCCCACCAGGAGACATCTTTACATGGTCCTCAGTCCCACCAGGAAACATGTCTCCGAACCTGGGCCCACCAGGGAGACACCCAGCCAGGAGACATCTCTCCATCCCCAGTCCCACCAATGGACACGTCCCCAGTCCCACCAATGGACACGTACCCATCCTCAGTCCCGCCAGCAGACACACCCACGTCCTCAGTCCCACTGGGAGTCGGGCCCCCACCCTCAGTCCCACTGAGAGACATTTTTCCATTTATGGTCCTCAGTCCCACCGGGAAACACGTTTCCGAACCTGGGCCCACCAGGGAGACACCCAGCCAGGAGACCTCTCTCTCTGTCCCCGGTCCCACCAGGGGACGCGTCCCGATCCCACCAGGGGACGCGTCCCCGATCCCACCAGGGGACGCGTCCCCGATCCCACCAGTGGACGCGTCTCCGATCCCACCAGTGGACGCGTCCACCTCCTCAGTCCCACCAGTGGTCACGTCCGCCTCCTCGGTCCCACCAGTGGTCACGTCCGCCTCCTCGGTCCCACCAGTGGTCACGTCCGCCTCCTCGGTCCCACCAGTGGTCACGTCCGCCTCCTCGGTCCCACCAGTAGACGCGCCCCCCGTCCTCGGTCCCACCAGTAGACGCGCCCCCGTCCTCGGTCCCACCAGTAGACGCGCCCCCGTCCTCGGTCCCACCAGTAGACGCGCCCCCGTCCTCGGTCCCACCAGTAGACGCGCCCCCGTCCTCGGTCCCACCAGTAGACGCGCCCCCGTCCTCGGTCCCACCAGTAGACGCGCCCCCGTCCTCGGTCCCACCAGTAGACGCGCCCCCGTCCTCGGTCCCACCAGTAGACGCGCCCCCGTCCTCGGTCCCCTCAGGAGACGCGCCCCCGTCCTCGGTCCCCTCAGGAGACGCGCCCCCGTCCTCGGTCCCCTCAGGAGACGCGCCCCCGTCCTCGGTCCCCTCAGGAGACGCGCCCCCGTCCTCGGTCCCCTCAGGAGACGCGCCCCCGTCCTCGGTCCCACCAGTAGACGCGCCCCCGTCCTCGGTCCCACCAGTAGACGCGCCCCCGTCCTCGGTCCCCACCAGTAGACGCGCCCCCGTCCTCGGTCCCACCAGTAGACGCGCGCCCGTCCGTCCTCGGTCCCACCAGTAGACGCGCCCCCGTCCTCGGTCCCCTCAGGAGACGCGCCCCCGTCCTCGGTCCCACCAGTAGACGCGCCCCCGTCCTCGGTCCCACCAGTAGACGCTCCCCCGTCCTCGGTCCCCTCAGGAGACGCGCCCCCGTCCTCGGTCCCCTCAGGAGACGCGCCCCCGTCCTCGGTCCCCTCAGGAGACGCGCCCCCGTCCTCGGTCCCCTCAGGAGACGCGCCCCCGTCCTCGGTCCCCTCAGGAGACGCCCCCCCTGTTCTCGGTCCCCTCAGGAAATGCGCCCTCGTCTTTGGTCCCACCATGATTTATTAGATGTCTTGGTTGACAAATGGAATTGGTGCAGTTCCCTACCTCCTGCTTTCCTCATTCAGAGGTTTTCTAACATTTTGGGACAAAAAAATAACCTGTGGGAAGAAGTTAAGTACATATATTACCTCTGACTTCCACTTGAGGCCCCTAGATGGCAGTGACATAAGAATCCTGAGAATGACAAGTACCCTGAATCTCATAAGAGGACACTGCTGGTCTGTGATTGGAGCATCCATATTCCAGATTTGGGTTCCCCTTCATATCCAATCTCACTGGAAGGATTGCAATGTCATTTCTGCTTTGCAAAAGATGGGTAAAGCTGAGTATTAGTGGTGCACCGAAAGGAAAATTCTGGTGCCGAAATCAAAAATTCAGGATGCACTTGGCCAAAAACCGAAACTGAAATGAACAGTTTTTAAATATGAATATATATTTTTTGGAAAAAAATACACTTAATAAAATAAAATAAAACCACAATATATACCCCAATTTTTTTGTAAAAAATAAAAGATGATGTTACGGCGAGTAAATAGATACCCAACATGTCATTCTTTAAAACTGCACACACTTGTGGAATGGCGTCAAACTACAGTACTTAAAAATTTCCATAAGTGACTCTTTAAAAATCTCTATAGGTTAGCAGTGTAATGTTACAGAGGAGGTCTAGTGCTACAATTATTGCTCTTGCTCTGATGTTTGTGGTGATACCTCACGTGTGTGGTTTGAACACCGTTTACTTATGTGGGCGTGGCCTATATATATATTCACCACTACGTGCAAGTACAGGGAGACGGGGACACTAATTTTTTTTAAATCTATTTAATTTTTTTTTTCCTTTTACACTGTCTCTTTAAAAAAAATTTGTAATCACTTTTATTCCTATCACAAGGAATGCATGCATTCCCTGCGATAGAAATAAGCAGTGACAGGTCCTCTTTATGGAGAGACATGGGGTCAATAAGACCCCACATCTCTCCTCTACAATGTAAAGCATTAGATCAGAAAAAGCATTGATATAGTGCTTTTAAAGAAAAAAATATGGCCTTGTTTACAAGGCGCTGGAACCGGAAGTGACATGGCTCTGGTCCTCCAAGGGCATAAAGATGGGTGGAGGCCATCTTTCCTTCACTAATCTCTATGCCCAGCATCGGGATTGTTCTGTGGTTTCTCAGGTAAGGCTAAGAAATACTGAGCGGTGGCAAGGGGTGCAAGCAGTGAAGGGGTGGGGTTATTTTCGGCATCTGTATCCGTGCTTATTTTCCTATCGGCCAGCGGCTGATAGGGGTGTTTTCTGTCGAAACATTTCAGCCACCAAAATTTCGGTGCATCCCTACTCAGTGTATGTGCTAAGTTATTGTCCTATGTTTTTTTTCCGTTACACCTAATACAGGGAATGCAGGTTTTGGAAAGGGGGGAGGGATTGTTTTAGTGCATGGTCTGCTTTTATTAATGAGGAGGCATGCATTGGGGATATGCACTGTGGGTACCAAATTAGAAGTCTTTGCTTTCGCTGACATCAGCATCCAGTGTGGGATCAGAGCACAGGCTCAGAACCCACTGGGTACATCTCTGAGCGAAGTTATTCCACAAGTCACTGCTAATACAATGCCTCCCTAAAGTCTGCCTCACATAATAATCCCCAAACCTGGGAAAAACCTTTTTTTTTATTTATTTATTACTGATGAAGAGAGTGAGGACAGTTCAGAACCCCAGTCAAGGTTTTATTGCTGTCTGTGTCTCCATTGGCGTGATCCCCTCACATCACATAGAAAGTGAAGGAAACCTCTTCAACTGGAACACCAAAAGAAAACTATTTTATCTAGTAGAGTGGAGAAGGCAAGCGCATCCATCAGGTTTCTTTGCTGGTTTGTCCCCATTGGGATGATTTCACTTCCAGATGACAAGTTTCAGAACAGGAAATGAGGAAAAACCTTCCTAAAAGAGACAAATACAGCAGTTAAAGTGGTTGTAAAGGGTGAATATTTTTTTTTACCACCCTCAGTGTGCATCTTCCCCCTCAGCCAACCCCCCCAATAGTTATCTGAGCCCAATCCGATCAAGCGATGTGAAAAAAAGCAGAAAGAGGTTCTCCCAGGCCTCTGCCTCCTTATTGGCTGAGACACAGCCATTGTGGGGGTGGGGGCAGGCTGCGCTCTGTATGTCTCGCAAGCTGCTTGCTCTGGGACAGTCAGCAGGGGCAAGGGGCCTGGAGTGCCAATGGGGGACCCAAAAACAAGGGGGGTCAGGGCAGGTAAAGCCATTTTTGTTATTAACCACTTGCCCTCCATAGGATTTACCCACCCTTCCTGACCAGGCCATTTTTTGCGATACGGTGCTGCATTACTTACAATTGTGTGGTCATGCAACACTGCACCCAATTAAAATGTATTTTTTTTTTCCCACTGTGCCGGAGGGTAAGCGGGACAGAACACACAAGGCAGATTGCAAACACTTAAAGCTTTATTGAAACAGACAACAGTCACTCAGTGGGGAGTAGTGCAGAGAGAGAGCCCAAAGTACTTTGTAATTCAGCCCCGGTGGGCAAAGTTAAAGTCTCTACAGCAGTTTGTAATCCAACAAGGAGGTAAGAGGCAGTTCATAAACAGGTCAGATAACACAGGAGAATTTTGTAGTCCTGCCCCGGTGGGCAAAGTTAAAGTGTCTACAGCACTTTGTAATCCAACAGGGAGGTAAGAGGCAGTTCATAAACAGGTCAGATAACACAGGAGAAGCATACACTCACGCAGAGCTGATGTGATAGTCCCAGATAGAGCTGGCAGCGTCTCAGGCAGAGCTGGTGTGTTAAGCTCAGGCAGAGCTGATGTGGCTTCTGGGGTCCCCCTTCCTCCAGTGGGGCTCAGGCAGAGTCTGGGCCACTAGAGTCCAGCCGCAGCTGGATCCCTCAGTGGCTGCACAGCAGAATGGCTGATAAGGAGAGACCAGCACTGACCTCTTAACCCCCCCCCCCGGAGCAGGACAAGAGGTGGAGGGGGGTCATTAGCAGGGTGACAAGGGGGGAAAGGCCTTAATTGAGTTTGTGGACATTTGGACGACAATGGAGAGGATGGACCGGAAAGGAATTACAGTAATTGAATTTGCAGCTGTAAACAGGAGGACAGTGGGGAGGATATTCTATTTGGGCAAAACTGGTTGGACAGGATGGACAAGGAAACAGTAATTAGATTTGCAGCTGTAAATGGATAACAGTGGGGAAGAATATACATTTGGACACAAACCAAGATGGACAGGGAAGGAAACACAATAATTGAATATGTAGCTGTAAACGGGATAACAATGGGGAGAATACACTAATTGTCAGGAATGGACTTGCCAATAGTGGTGGGACTCACCTGCCTTGTGGGCTGCAGTACCAGGGCTGGCCAGCGGGTGCTCTCAACAACCAGAGGTTCACTTCTGCAATTAGCCATTACCTGGGGCTGATTGCAGGTGTATTTAAGGGATGGCCAGACCTGCAATCTGTGCCTTGGTGTGTGTTTTTCCATGGGCCCCTGTACCTTGTAACCTGCATTCCTGTTCCTGTTTCTGCCTGACTTGTTGCCGACCCTGCCTGATCCTGACCTCTGCTGACTTCTCCTGTTTGATCCCTGGCTTGTGACCCTGACCATTCTCTCCGCCTGCTCCTCCTGTACCTACCTGCCCGATAGTTATTGACCCGGCCTGCCTGACTACGTTGTGCTCTATATGTGTATGTACCTGTGTATCTATATCAGTTTAGGTTTGGGTTTGTTTCACCTTGTATGTATTTGTGTTAGCTTGGGGTTTGGTGCACTGCGTTTATATTTGTATTGTTAGTCTTAATAAATTGTCTTCTTTATACCATATCTGAAGCCTGCGTTTCCCTGTGTCAGTACACACATCTCTGGTCACATTCGCATCTCTGACACTAATTGAATCTGGGACCTTTTGTGGAGGGCTCGCGTTAATTACAACTAGGGGCCTTTAGCACACAGGAGTAGAATACTAATTGGAGGATGCTCTTCCTATGGCCAGGAGGGATTAATGAGGGAATTACCACTTCCCGACCAGCCGTTGCATATAAATGGCCGGACGGTGGCAGTGCAGGGTCGGGTGGCCGTTTATAAACGCCCTCCCCGCACCCTGCTTGTGTGCGCTCCCTGGGAGCGCGCAGCACCGCGATCCGGTGCCCGCTGTGTCCTCCGGACACAGTGAAACACCGATCGTCGAACGGGACCTCTGTACGAGGTCCCGATCATGTGATCACTGATTGGCCAATCAGTGATCACATGCAAAGTAGTAAGCAGGATGTCACTTGTGACATCATTGCTTACTACGTGTGAAATCTGTGAATGATCACAGAGGTCACATGGTACAAGCCTATTCACAACAGCCTTGTACCATGTGACAAGCTGTGACCAATCACAGCTCACTCAGTACTTCTCAATGAGTGCAAGAATGCACACAGAGAGAAAGAGAAATGATTGCTTTTACATCCTATATGGGTGTAAAAGCAATGTGTAAAAAAAAAAAAAAATCTTCATCACCCCCCACAAGTAGTACAGTGTCACCATGGTGACACTGTACTGCTAGGGTGACAGTATGTAAAAAAAAAAATAATAATATAAAACAATAACATAAAAATGTAAAAAAAATGTTTAAAAATTATAATTTTTGGTTATAAACTAATTTGGATTTTTTTTTTTTTTACTAAAAAGATAACGGAATAATTTTTGGCAAAGATTTATGATGAAATATTATTTATTTGCAAAATTTTATTAAAAAAAACACTTTTTTTCAAAATGTTTGGACTTTTTCATTTACATAGAAAAAAAATAAAAATCCCAGCGGTGAATAAATACCACCAAAATAAAGCTTTATCTGTCTCGAAAAAATGGTAAAAAATTAATTTGGGTACAGTGTTGCATGACTGCGCAATTGTCATTCAAAGTGTGATAGCGCTGAAAGCTGAAAATTGCCCTGGTCAGGAAGGGGGTAAAAGTGTCCGGTCTGGAAGTGGTTAATAATTGGGGACATTAAGCAGGAATTAATAATTGGCCGGGCCCCTATACCGTGACACCCACAAATAGAGCTTTCTTTCTAACTGAACAAAAATGCAGCAAGCAGGACTTTAAAAAACACAACTGAAGCGTAAAAGACCAGTGTGAAGAACTTCATAGAATTTAAAGGGATGTGTTTTTTTTTTTCTGCTTTTCTTCCTCTTTTTTTTTAACTGAACAAAAACAGATTAGTGTGAAAGTAGCCTTAGACATAAAGATTGAGGCTTGGCCCCTCGCCCCGCTCCCGCCTTACTGGCTGTGAACTTCTAAGCTAGGGGTCTCCAAACTTTCAAAGTAAAGGGTCAGTTTACTGCCATTAAAACTTTAGGGGGGGGGGGAGGCAGACTGTGACCAGTGGGACTAGAAAATGTCCTGACATCGTTGGGAATAAACAATGCCATAGGCTTGGTGGTCAATGGGATTAAAAAAATGACATCATTGGTGTCAATGGGAGGAATGGTGCCCCATCAATAGTGTCAAAAGTGCCCCAAGAGCTGGATAAAGGCAAGCAAGGGGCCAACTCTGGAGACCCCTGCTCCTAAGCCACTGAGGAGGGAGAGAGCCACTGCTCTCGTGCACATCACTGGATCAAGATCAGGCTCAGGTAAGTATTATGGGGGCTGCACTCGGAAGGTTTTTTTTTTTTACCTTCATATATAGAATGCACGAAGGTAAAAAACCTTCTGCCTTTACAACCACTTTAAAGCATACCCTTAGTAGAGATGCAAAACTAACAGCAGAAATAAAGGCGCTGATTGAATTTGCTCAATCCTATATAAAGTGTTCCTCATTTAGTCCCAGTAGTGAAGCTGTTCTTTATCATGTGTTCTCCCTTTTAATTAATTGTTATTTATTTCTTTTTTTAAAGGTTTTGTCCTGGGTGGGGCCTTTGGCGTGTTCACTGCCGGCATCGACACCAACGTAGGTTTTGATCCTAAGGATCCTTATCGCACACCTACTGCTAAAGAGGTGTTGAAAGACATGGGACAGAGGGGAATGTCCTACGCCAAAAACTTTGCAATAGTGGGTGCTATGTTCTCCTGCACAGAGTGTCTAGTAGAATCGGTATGTATAGTTCTCTTAGTTGTTGTTTGAGTTGCAATTCCAGTTATTAAATCGTGTTCAGATATATATAATCAGAATTTCCTTTTCACGTGATGGAATAATTGTAGCGAATCTTCACCACGTAATTTATTGTTTGAACATAGAGTACTCCACTGCTTTTGTAAATCTGCCTCAATGTGTATTTACTTCACAAAAAGGACAATATTAATATGTTTATTTTTGGTTTGAATGCAAAGAGTACTTTTTATTTAAAGTGATTGTATAGGTAACAAAAGAAAACAAACAAACATGGTATACTTACCTGCTCTGTGCAATGTTTATGCACAGAGCAGTTCCAATCCTCTTCTTTTTGGGTCCCCTCACTGGCTGTCCTTGCTCCTCCTCCCTGCTGAGTGCCCCCATTAGCAAGCCTCTTGCTCTGGGGGCACTTGAGCAGGCTCATTTCAAAGCCATTCTATGAATAGACATTGTCTATTCACACACAGAGCATGGCTCAGCCCCACCCCCTGCTCTCACTGCTTTGTGAGCCAATGAGGAGAGAGAGACCTGAGAGAGCTGCTGCTCTCATAGATATCGCTGGATCAAGATGGGGCTCAGGTAAGTATTAGGAGGGCTGAGGGGGGAACTGCGTCCAGAAGGTTTTTTACCTTAATGCATAGAATGCATTAAAGTGAAAATTCTTCTGCCCTTAGAACCATTTTAATCTTATCCTAGGCCTAGCCAGGATTTTATACAGAGACAGGTGATGCTGATCAGCCCAGTAAGAATGTTTTCTTTGTGTTGTTCCGTGTAGCAGTGTGGAAAAACTTTGAGGACTATAGTAGTTTTTGGGAGAAAACACTATTGGGTTCCCAGCACCAGTGGAAAAGTCCAATACATTGTCATGTGTGTGTGGACACTGCTTCTGCTTCTATTGTTGCTGAGCATGTCTGAACCCAGAAACATGCTTTTCTTTCTTGTTCAGTGAGGAACACAGTCTGAGGGCCAGTTCACACGTGGAACCATGCAAGTCACATGCAGCTCTGTGCAGTGCAATTTCAGCCCATTCATGGTACTTCTGTACCATGCAATTTGGGGCTCACAAACTCACTGCATTTGGGGGTGTCAGTAATCTAATACTGACACCAACTGAACATTGCACCTGCAGTGCGTTTTGCACACGGTGTGGGAAATGGAACATAAACATAAACTTTCCGCACAGCGTTCTGGTGTGAACCGGCCCTTAAACTTTCATGTTAAACTGCTGCCTGCAGGAGGATTAGGCAGTGGCAAACAAACAACTGTAACCCCTACCCACTTCCAGCATGTCTCATTTTTTTTCTAGTGTCCTAGGAGGATGAACATCTTTTCTACAGTTTTGCTATGTTTAGACTACATTTTTGCTAGTACCATTTTTTTTCAGGCAAGATTTTCTGTATTTCTGCTGAGCTTCAACTCTTCCAGTGTTCCGGCAGTCTTCCTCAGCCAGGATTTGAAGTACCTTTTATAATATTTGTTTTTTTGTGTCCATTTGTCTACCTAAAATAGGATATCTGTGCGGGGTTTTTAATAAAACAATGTACCAAGTAAGAGTGTTTTACTGTACATCCTTAGGTAGGCAAATTCACATTGCGTTTGGCAAGAAAAAGTCATCTGGGAAGTCATCTGTGAAGTGTAAACGACTTTTATGCTTTCCTTGTGACCTTTTCCTGTTTTTAGATGTTCCTACTTTAAAGCAGGTTTAGTTCTGGTTATGTGTGTACATGCACATACATGTGTTTACAATGTGTTAGAATGATGGAATCCTGGACACAAAGATTTCTACTTTTTCTAAACACATTTAAACTAAGCACACCTAAACGTTGTGAGTGAATGACACTATTGAAACATTATTCCGTGCATTTATATGTGATAAGAAATCTCCTCTACACACATATAAAGGCAGGTTTGACCGGGCCAGTGTGAATTCTTAGTTTAAGGTAACCAACACATACTGACGCTGCTAAATTTGGGTCTGGGCGTCCATGACCTGTGGTCATGAAAGGGTTCACACTATTAATCTCTTGGAGGCTGCTGATTTCTCCCCTCCAATTATTGCCCTATTTGTTGTATAACAGGGAATCCTGAACTCACATCCCACCACTGCTGCTAACACATATGGATGCACACAATGAGTTGAATAGAAGTCATAAAGCAATGTGGGGGCTGAGTTTGTGTTGCTGATATTTTTAGCAGTTTCCAAACTGAGCAGAACACTGTGAACCCAAGCATCATTCATCTGTAGAAATAATGTCATTCTGTATTCAATCTACGTCTTGACACAAAGCTCTGCTCTGCCCACACACTGGGGACAATTACACATCCCAGTGTCACAGCATTAGGTTATGCTGATTGGGTTTGGATCATATGATTTGACAATGGATTAAGTAATGCATACACAACTTGCTTAAGTAGGCTGCAGGTATTGGTGGGGAAATAACTGGACATTGCTGGTCTTTTCAATAATGTATATAAAGACATGATGCTTCATCCATGCTGGATATCTCCAGCCTATTTTCACATTTTGGCAGCCTGGATATTTCACTGCTTAGTTTACACTTAGTGCAGTTTATAGTGTGTCTTAGATGTCTATATTGAAGCTCTCCCTTAGAGAATGAATGTCTTTGGCTAAATTTACACTTTCAGTTGGGGGGGGGCAGTAAAAACAGGCAGTCACACCATGTTTTTACCACTTCCAACCATATGTGGATATACACATGCAGCACATCACAGCACAGCAAAAATGATCCAACCAATTGTGTTTGCAGACTGCCACCCATTCAAGTAAATAAGGGCTGTGGTGTGGATTGTTAGAGGTTAAAACAGGCAGTGAGTAAGCCACCTAACACCTCCTCACTGCCTTGTGCCCTATGAAGAAAAATATCCACTGCGGATCACTCTTTAGAGGTTCTGTGTAGCGGGAAACCTGTAATAATACCTTTCCTGGCTGTCAGGTCAATCCAGTGTTTTCAGTACTTTCTGTGTCATTGAACTGGAAAAAATATTTGCAGATAAGGAGTTCTAACTTCATTCTGGCTTTCCCAGTCTACATGCTTGTTTGGGTTATTGCCTCAAAAAGTAGTAAACAGCCATGCAGTGTGGCAGAAGGAGGTCAGCAATCACAGGCTTCATATTTCTCTCAGTGAAGGGATAGAGCTGGCAGACTGCTAAATACACAGCTGAACTACGTACAGTATATATGTATGTGTGTTTTGCTCAGCCAGTCTTGTGATTCACGCAGTGAGTGAGGCTGTGTCTTAGAAACCTAGTAGAAGTAATTAGATGGCTTTCTCTTGCAGCTGTGCACTTATTTTAACACTTTGATTCCAATGACATAAGATATGTCTTCGGCAGTGAGAGTTACCCTGCAGATTAATGCCACTGGGATTAAAAAGTCCACAAATATGAAGGATTTTGAGAGTCTTGACTGAATGCTGTGTTTGGGAACCTAACCGTCTCATATTTAACTTTCTCTACCTGTTTGTTTTGTGTCACTGTACAATGTAGCCAAGTCTTAGCGTAGATATCCTGTTTACAAGTTGTGTTTTTTCATTTTAGTATCGAGGGAAATCTGACTGGAAGAACAGTGTGATCAGTGGCTGTATAACAGGGGGTGCAATTGGCTTCAGAGGTGAGTGATGATGGTTTATGGGGCGTGTGAACTTTAACTGATCATGCCTTAAAGTGACACCAAACTTATCCTTATTTTCATCTCTATGGTCTAAGCCAGGGGTCTGCAACCTTTAAGACATAAAGAGCCACTTGGACCCGTTTCCGAGAGGGAAAAAAAAGACTGGGAGTCGCAAAACCATTGCAACATTTAAAACAAATCCGACACTGCATATATTGCAAAAAGCGCTCTGGTCATGAAGGGGGTTTAAGGGCCCAGTAAGCAAAGGGTTAATCAGGGCCACAGTGTATCGTCATAATCACAACCATAGCCTTAGGTCAGTGGTGGGCAACTTTTTTTTTTCAACTGAGCCAAATCTCGCCAAAACCACGATTGAAATTTATTTTGAGAGCCACATTTTTAAAACTGAAAATACATCCCCCATATAGTAATTCATCCCCCATATAGTAATTCATCCCCCATATAGTAATTCATCCATCATATAGTAATTCATCCCCCATAGTAATTCATCCCCCATATAGTAATTCATCCCCCACATAGTAATTCATCCCCCACATAGTAATTCATCCCCCACATAGTAATTCATCCCCCATATAGTAAAATACATCCCCCATATAGTAAAATACATCCCCCACATAGTAATTCATCCCCCACATAGTAATTCATCCCCCATATAGTAATTCATCCCCCCTATAGTAATTCATTCCCCATATTGTGTCAATTCACTTACCTTTGCTCCGCGCGTTCCTCTCACCGTGTTCCCGCGCCGTTCCGGTCTTCAGGGCGAACTGTGAGAGGAGAGGAGTTCGTCACGCTGCCCCGCCTACATCCTGACAGCCAATGTTTGCCACGCTCCGCGGGCCGGATTAAAAGGTCCGCCGGGCCGTAGTTTGCCCATTGCTGGGCCAGCTGCAGAGTCCTGACTTTTGGGGCGGCCGCCCGAGAGGAGGGAGGGGAGCGGGCGCCCGGCACACAGAAGACCCTATTGCAGGGGTGGGCAAACTTTTTGACTTGAGGGCCGCAATGGGTTCATTTATTGGACCCGAGGGCCGGACCAAGAGTAGATGAATGATGTGTATGTGTCATCCATAGTAAGTATAGTAATATTCCCCCATAGTAAGCATAGTAATTCATCCCCCATATAGTAATTCATCCCCCATATAGTAATTCATCCCCCATATAGTAATTCATCCCCCATATAGTAATTCATCCCCCATAGTAATTCATCCCCCATATAGTAATTCATCCCCCATATAGTAATTCATCCCCCATATAGTAATTCGTCCCCTATAGTAATTCGTCCCCCATAGTAATTCGTCCCCCATATAGTAATTCATCCTCCATAGTAATTCATCCCCCATATAGTAATTCATCCCCCCTATAGTAATTCATCCCCCCTATAGTAATTCATCCCCCCTATAGTAATTCATCCCCCCTATTAAGTCCCCAAGTCCCCCCTGTGTCAATTCACTTACCTTTGCTCCGCGCGTTCCTCTCGCCGTGTTCCCCGCGCCGTTCCGGTGTAGCATGAAAATCTGTCTCCTATGAGGATCTGTCTCCCTCGACGTATCTGCGCATGTGCCAGTTTCAGGCATTAGCAGCCGATCGGCGATCTCCGGCACATGCGCAGATACGTCGAGGGGGACAGAACCTCATAGGAGACAGATTTTCATGCTACACCGGTCTTCAGGGCGGACTGTGAGAGGAGCCTAGCGGGAGCCTAGCTCCGCGGGCCGGATTAAAAGGTCCGCCGGGCCGTAGTTTGCCCATTGCTGCACTATTGCCTGTCACCTGGTGGGCAGTGTGCTCCGGAGCCGCAGCCAAGGTGAAAAAGAGCCGCATGCGGCTCTGGAGCTGCGGGTTGCCGACACCCGGTCTAAGAAATCAGAAGCGATGAGTTACTTCTGGTTTCGGTCTAATGTAAACAAGCCGTTATGGGCCTGTGAAAGCATTTGATCAAACTGATCCTGATTTGATCCGATGCTTTTAAGGACAGAGAAGAGATCTGAGGTCTAATAGACCCCAGATGTCTCAGTAAGAGAACCTGTCATGGCCCATGCTATCACAAGAGATGTTGTTCATCCTTCGTGATAGCAATAAAAGTGATAAAAAAAATTAGAGACAGTGTAAACAAAAACAAATTAAGAACACCAGACCTCCTGTGTAACTCTTAACTGGTAACCTGTAAAGGCTTTTAAAGCGCCGCCTATGGAGAATTTTAAGCACTGTAGTTATTGCCATTCCACGTGCATACACAATTTGAAAGTGCAACATGTTGGGTATCTATTTGCTTGGTGTAACATCATCTTTTATATTATCCCAGACAGTTGGGAATATATAATGTGTTTTTCTGCATGAAAATGTATTAAAGTGTATTTTTTTTTTATTGCATTTGAAAAACCACTGCACAAATACCATTGACATAAATTAAAAGTTGCAACACCCATCATTTTATTCTCTAGGGCCTCTGCTTAAAAATTGATATATAATAATTGGGGGTTCGAAGTAATTTTCTAGCAAACACGGTTTATATAACCAGGTACGAACCTATATACAGTGAAGAAAATAAGTATTTGATCCCCTGCTGATTTTGAATGTTTACCTGCTCACAAAGAAATGGTCAGTCTAAAAATCAAATGGTAGGTGTATTGTAACACTGAGAGACAGAATGGCAACAAAAAAATTCAAAAGAAATGCAAGTCTAACAAATTATGCACTGATTTGCATGTTCAAGCTGAGATTAGAAGCAGTTTCTTAAAGGGAGTGCTGCTAATTTTATTTTGTTACCTGTATAAAAGACACCTGTCCACAGGAGCAATCAAACAATCAGATTCCAAACTCTCCACCATGGCAAAGACCAAAGAGCTGTCCAAGGATGTCAAGGACAAGATTGTAGACCTACACAAGGCTGGACTGGGCTACAAAACTATCACCAAGCAGCTTGGTGAGAAGGTGACAACAGTTGGTGCAATCATTCACAAATGGAAGAAACACAAAACAACTGTCAGTCTCCCTAGGTCTGGTGCACCATGCAAGATCTCACCTCGTGGAGTGTCAATGATCATGAGAACAGTAAGAAATCATATGTGAAGGAAACAGTAACAGCAAGGAGCTTGCATTCAATATATATTTCTTGAAAATACTGCGCTATGGGCTTCCTTCTTTTTGACTCCTTGTGAGCGGATACCTGTACAGAGCCCATTCCGGAGTGAGGCCTTAGGTGCTGCAAACTGCCCAGGGTAAGGGGATCCTTAACAGTTTGTGACCAGACCAGGCTGATCCGGTTCTGAAGAAGATCTTCAGTAGACATCTTTGAGATTTACATATGCTTATATGCGCATAAAGGTTGCCCATCTGGTGAGTGCGTATTACTAACAATTTCACGGCACGTCACCAGGATGTTATAAGGAGCACTTATCTGAGATCCCCTCAGATGGATCATCACTTCTAAGCACGTTATATGAACTGTTTTCAGAACTGTGTATAGTTATGAACACTCAGCACATTGGTAGTGCTCACTAATATCACCTTTAGTTTTGCATTTTGCTCTTTTGTCACTTTATATCCACATTTGGGTTTAGTGAAATTTATGTGTTTGCATACATTTGAATTTTGTTTTCAGGGATTCCAGCACCGCACCCTTTTGTTTTTCTTGCTTAAACATTCAAAATCAGCAGGGGATCAAATACTTATTTCCTTCACTGTACTAGCCTACAATATATAATAGTATATGTGCAAAGAAAAATAGATCAGTAAATATACAAAAGCAAAAACATTCATATATCATAACAATCAATATTAGATTGTGCAAATACCTAAAAGTGCTAGTGCATATATGGACTATGAATAGGCAAAAGTGCAAGTGTATGTATAGGCCATAAATTAATCAATAGATAAATACATAAATGTGTAAATAGATGTCAATGTGGCTACATCAAAGTAACCAATAAATATCAGAATAGTGCAAATTAAAGTGCAAAGTCCATGTGGATTCCATCCCAACATGTGCCAAGGACAAACAGCAGGTGTTACTCCATGGGACTCCTCCACCATGAATCACAAAAGTTGTTGATCTCCAGAATAACAAAGATCAATATGCGCTCAATGCGTGTATTGCTTTAAGAGCCATCTATTAGGACCACTGCAGTCATCCAGAACTTCAGCTAGCTGAACAAAAGGGTTGCGGCATGTTTATCCTCCAAGAAGAAAAAAAAGGAGCCAGCATAGTGTTACATAATCAATTTATATATACTTATAATGCCGCGCTCCTACTATAAGTACTTAATCACATATTATGTGTCACTCATCTGAATAAATATATAAATAAACTGAATAATGATAATTAATAGTATGTGATAAATGTGACATATAGATCCATATGTTAAAAATTAAACCAATAAAGTGCTTGATTATACCATTTGTGCTTAATCAATAATATCAATACAATAGATTGTGCAAATATAATACATATAGTGCATGAATAAATTAAAAAGTCTTTTTTTATAAATTAGTGCAATGTGCAGGTGAACTCCTTAATCCCTCTTTTCCAGGTGCCGTGTGGTCTCAATATGCGCTCACCTTGATATTTGCCCAAATAAATTTAGGCAAATAAACTTTTTGTCCTTCCAGGACTGGTGGGATGATGCTCCTATATATGGTATTCCAAATGGAAGTGAAGGTCTGCTCAGATCCTCTTTTTATCTCCTCTCCTCACTCCATACACATAGCCACTCATGGATGGACCTTTGGAACATATGTGAAAATCTCCTATTTCCCCTTTTTTTTCACGACGCATCGTTGCATCGGAGAAGCTCGGCGATTCCAGCAGAGGCAGACAGAGAGGCAGAGAGCATTACCAGCTTTTGCATTTCTGTACCAGATAAGTGCCATATACTGCTATATCACCGCTTCTGGCAACAATAAGCTACTCTCATAAAAGGATAAGGCACCATGGTTTTTCTTTTCTCCACTTGATTTATATATCCAACACTGAGGAAAGGTGGATAAGAGGAGGAGGTGTCCCGAGGAGGGGAAATAGGAGATTTTCACATATGTTCCAAAGGTCCATCCATGAGTGGCTATGTGTATGGAGTGAGAGGAGATAAAAAGAGGATCTGAGCAGACGTATTCACTTCCATTTGGAATACCATATATAGGAGCATCATCCCACCAGTCCTGGAAGGACAAAAAGTTTATTTTTGCCTAAATTTATTTGGGCAAATATCAAGGTGAGCGCATATTGAGACCACACGGCACCTGGAAGGAGGGATTTAAGGAGTTCACCTGCACATTGCACATTGCACTAATTTATAAAAAAGACTTTTTAATTTATTCATGCACTATATGTATTATATTTGCACAATCTATTGTATTGATATTATTGATTAAGCACAAAATGGTATAATCAAGCACTTTATTGGTTTAATTTTTAACATATGGATCTATATGTCACATTTATCACATACTATTAATTATCATTATTCAGTTTATTTATATATTTATTCAGATGAGTGACACATAATATGTGATTAAGTACTTATAGTAGGAGCGCGGCATTATAAGTATATATAAATTGATTATTAGACACACAACCAAGTGAGTTTGTGAAAGTGTCAGCGCACCCAGTATAAAATCTAGGTTGTTTATAATTACGAATAATACACTGAACACCTCAGTCATAGTAGCTCACAAGTATTCACTTTTATTTTTAGCATAGTGTTACACCACCACACAGGTTCTTTTATTTGTACTCGATACCAGTGCCCTAGATATATATAAATAAAGAACCAGCGCCACGGAAATTATATAACACAGTAAGCTGCAAAACCTAGCCTATAAAATTATAGGATATACAAAACTTCAATAAAATAGGTTGCGCTAAAATACATGCAAAAATATAACAAGAAAATAAATAACAAAACAATAAAAAAACAATATTATAAATCAAAATAAAATCCAGCAAAAACAAAAAAGTCCAAAAGTTCAAATAATCAATAATGTCCAAAATAATTCATCACCAAGTAAATCCACCACCAAAAATGGTTAAATACAACTCACCAGAGTAATATGCTGATTGTTGAAAAACCAGCATATAGTACTTGTTATTCTGGGAGAAATGAATAATATGGTGACAACAACACTGAAGAAATGAGGGATGAACTCCAACAGATGATGTGCTGCAAAGTAGAAAATCCACTCCAAAGGTGTTTTAGTATCCAAACTGAGAGATGATCAGACCGTCACTCAAAAGAAAAAAGTGAACAATCATGGTGCAGTATGTTTTAAAAAGCATCAAACTTTAATGAAGAAATGCACTTACAAGCAAGGTGTCCAGACTGACGCCAGTATAGACAGCATGTGTAATGAATATAGGCGACTCAGACCCAGCCAAACATGAACATGCTACGTGCAGACAAACCAGGAGTATTCTGAACCTCACATCCAAAGGCACTGCCCTAAGCTTTTCGTCATCGACGTCCTCACGGAGCGGATCCACTCCGCGAGGACGTCGATGACGAAAAGCTTAGGGCCAACAATGAAAAGCTGGGTCAACAATGGATTCAAACCAGAAATTATGGAAAATTATTAATCACACTACCATCAATGGAGTGCCTCCCAATACATCCCCCAGTGTCTTTAGTGTCCAATAAAGTGCATATATCTGAACCCCAAATGTCTCTGGTTTTCTTATTTCTTTTTCACAAGATAGAATTCCAATTCTCAAGAATTACATAAATCTACAATGTACAGGCACTTACACAGTCAGGGAGACAGAGTACACAAGTAGAGAACACCACAGCTTCCAGACATGGCAGGTGTGATGACATCACTGACTAAGTCATGTCCACATATATGCACTAGCACCTTTTAGGTATTTGCGCAGTCTAATCTTGATTTGTTATGATATGTGAATTTTTTGCTTTTGTATATTTATTGATCTATTTACTTTTTTTTGCACAGTATATAGGATTTTACTATATTGGCTAGTATATAGGATGTGCAACTGTTCATACAAACAGCCTTTTTTTTGGTATTCAAAACATTCAGCGTGCTGCACACTAAGCGCACAAATAGTTTCTTCATATGTAGGAATTTTCTAGCACCAAACTGCAGATTTTTACATGTAAACAAAAATAGGCCTGATCTTCAGTTGGTTAAAGTATATGTAAATTCAACAACAAACAACAAACATGTAATATATTGCAAGTTGTCATGTCAAGAACCCCCTGCCTCTTTTACATTAGATTGGACCACCTGCAGCCACTCTACACCCTGGTCAGTAGTCCAGCAGTCACACTCCAGCCTCTTCTCTCCTTGGCCTTCAGGAAATGAGGTTGGGTTGCTTCTGCATTGTTAGAGGGTATCACCTAGAGCAGGGTTTCTCAACCAGGGTTCCTCCAGAGGTTGCTAGGGGCTCTTGAGCAATCAACAATTTCTGCCCCTCAGATGATTCCCACTGACACCATTGCTCTTTTTAGCTAGGGGGTAATTCTTCCCATTGACCATCACACTAATATATCTTTGAGTTGTAGATATCGTAACATTAAGCAAGGGGTTTCCCAAGACTGAAATTTATTTCAAGGATTCCTCTGTGTCGAGAGAGGCTGACTTAGAGTAACGACCCCACACGTAGTGCTGAGAGGCTCATTTTCATAGTCTAAGAAGCCCATGGAATTTAAATCTACGAGCAGCATTTATATCACAATATGGATGGACATTAGATGGTTTATTCCTGGCCATGCCTGGAATTATAGCTCTTATGATTCCCCTGTATGTTGTGTTGCACATATTTTCTTCCTTTTATATGCTATGATCAGAACTAAAGTAAATATTTTCTGTTATGAAATATTGGATGTGAACGTTATGTTTATTTTTTACCCAGTGAGCAGGTGGAGCTTTAGGGCCCTTTCATTGCAAGTTATTTATAAAGATCAATAGGCTTAGAGGCAAGAAAACACTGAACTTGATGAGACAGAGGAATGATCCATCATTTTTTCACAGGGCAATGCAAAGGCAACTGTGAAGCTACTTCTGCTGTGCTGTTTCTTTAGCTAACCTGTAGTGCTTTGGGAATCCTTTGTCATGTATTACTTGCTATCTGTAAAACAAAGATTGTATGAATAAAGTAAAATAAGTAAATTAAACAAGTTTAAAAACTAATTTAAATGCAATTACAGTTGTACCAAAGCATTATAGTTTGCTTTTAAATGAAAATGTAATTACCAGTTCTAGATATCCTTTGTTCAACATACCCAGAACACAATTTCTTCATCCACTAGTAGTTCTGCTTCTCTCTCTAGGGCTCATGCACACTGGACGCTTTGCCGACTCTCTTTTCTTCCTGGCTGCAGCGTTTTGGCAGAAAAAACACCTTATGCTTGTAAAAGTGTGTAACGTGTTTCGACTCGTCAAGCGCTTGGACGTCAATTCATTTCATTGGCCAGAAAACTAATTGCCCTTGAAATTAATCACGCTCAAGCACTAAAAGTGCCCATCGTTGACACGTGTTTAGACACGTTGACAGGTGTTGAGTGTTTTTTCTGCCAAAATACTGCTGCTCCTGGGTGCACTGGCACTGGGTTTTTTCCTGCCTTTAAACTCCCCTAAAATCTTCTGTGTGCACTGATACATAGGCTAACATGCAGTGGCGTTTAGAGGCAGAAATAGAAAGAAAAGGCACACACACCCCTAGGAGCAGCTGAAAAAAACATCCTGCATTCATGAGGCCTAAGTCCTAAATACAATAAGTAGGCCTGATGCCTAATTCTTTATATAATAATATTGGCATTGTGCTCTCTTACAGCTGGACTGAAAGCTGGCGCTATTGGATGTGGAGGATTTGCTGCTTTTTCTGCCGTCATAGACTACTATCTGCGATAGCGGATTTCTGCCATCAGATGGTGCTGCTGCATCATGGACACTTTATAGAAACACTGCTGACCAATGAGCATACCTGCAACAGGGACTCTTCCAAGAAAAGACTTTTATCAGTTGGTTTGTCAGGAGATGATTCCTTATGATGAGTGGAGACATCCCCTATGAAGAGTGTTTGAGTATTATATGATGATAAATGTACAGAAATATGTTATTACATGTCTTACATAACACTAGATTTTCCAGTGTGTTTTTTAATACGATCTCTGTATTTACATTGGTTGCTTCACGTTTCCTATAATCATTAATAGTTGTGATTTATATCTCCCAAGAATTTTTGGGTATTTGCCTCATCAGTAATATATTGTTCTATTGTGTCAGCATAGCTGCTAGATGTGGATGTTGCTGCATTCCCACCATAGAATACTGGTGTATGGCTTAAGGCACATGTGTCAAGCACAAGGCCTGCGGGCTGAATCTGGCCCACCAGGCCATTTCATGTGGCCCTTGCACCTTTCCTGCAGCATCCCCCTGGTCTCCACCCCCACTTTGTCTTTGCAATCAGCAGCAGAGAGAAGGACAGAACTTTCCCTGGTCTCAGCATTCAGCAGACTTCGGCAGCTGACTCCAGTCCTCCTCTGGTCCTACTCCAGGACCCTGCACTTTCTGCTTCCTTGCTCTGTTCCCAGCTTATGCTTGGCAGCAGCACAAGGTCGGGGGTTGCACTGTAATGTAAGGGAGGGTGGGGGGCTCTTGACTTCTGATGGTGGGGGGACTCCTGACATCTGATGTAAGGAGGGGTGGGGGTGCTGTGAACATCCTGCTTATAAATAATATGAGAAAAATACAATTCTATGCCCGTTGAAAAGGAGTGTCGCACATCGGTATCATCCACTAGAAACTTTTTTGGAGACTGCTCAGACAGCACACCATGGCAGGAACCATGCTCCGTCTGAGCAGTCTCCAATAAAGTTTCTGGTGGATGATACCAGCGGTCCGCAACCTCTCCTCTTCAGACTTGCATCATACGCTGCAGAAATGTGAGTGGGTTCCATGCCAGTCTGCCCTTCACAGTCTTAAGTCTTAAAGAAGAACTCCGGGGTAATATAAAAATGGCAGAATAGTCTTGTGTAAGTAGATAAGCAACCATGATATTGTGATTTTGAAAAAAAAATGCACACTGTACATAAAACTCACTGTTTTAAAAAGCTGTGACGTCATCTCTTTGAAGAAACTCTTCCTCCATCCCCGGGCTCTTCTAGGAGGGATATTTGAAGTAGCAACATCACTTTCTGTTGGTGCTTGTTATGGTTTAAGACTACAAATCCCATCATGCCCTGGGATATGGAGTCTGAATGGGTGGAACTGTGGGCATGTTTGGAATGGATAAGACTTCTGGCCTGTCAATCTGTGCTGCACAGTGAGCGGATCAGACTGAGAGTCTGAGACTCCTGGGATCCCCCCACTGCAGCTCAAATGTGCTGGGCGAGGAGCCTGCCTTGGGGACATCTGCAGGAGCTGTAGCTGCTATGAGAGGAGGAGATCTGCCACCCTTTCCCTGCTCTCTGGGGCCACGGGGCCACTGTCACCTTCCCTGATCTCTTAGCAGACATGATTGCTGCCCGGGTCACTTCTCTTCATGGTCCCCAGCACCACAGACCCACTGGTACTCAAGATCAGTGGGATAAAGTGCTATGAAGACAATATGACAGTGACAGAGGAGCTCCTTCTCCGAGAGTCTGCTTCGGCTTATATTCCAGCCATGCTCATGGCTTGCCTGGGCTCTCCCATCCCACCAGGAGACCCAGGCAGCCAGCCAACGCTTCCGCCAGCTGTTTGGAAAACTGTACAAAGCCGGGATTGGCTCTCCCTTATGGTAACCCTGAAGCAGTGACCTGACATAACTTCTGGTTTATCCTGATGTCAACGGTGCCATTTTTAAAAATCAAAAGCATTTGTAAACACTGATCTTGGTGTTTAGAATGCTTTTAAGAGTGGAGTAGGGATTTGAGGTCTTATAGACCCCAGATCCCTCCATAAAGAGTACCTGTCACATACCTATTGCTGTCACAAGGATGTTTTACATTCCTTTTGACAGCAAGAAGTGATAAAGCAACAGTGTAAATTAAAAAAAAATTAATTATTCCCAAAAAAAAATTAAAGTGCCCCTGTCCCCCCGTGTTCGTGTGCAAAGGTGAACGCATGTGTATGTCGCACACAAACAGCAATCGTCCCACACGTGAGATATCACCAAGAACGTCAGATCAAGGGAAGTAATTCTACAGACCTCCTCTAAATCTAAAGGCTTTTAAAGTGTCACATATGGATAGTAAAATTTACGCCGTTTGCCATTGTTGAACGGACTTGAGCAATTTAGTGCGCATGTTTGGTATCTATTTACTTGGAGTAACATCATCTTCTATATTTTACAAAAAGAGGGTTATGTATTGTGTTTTTGCAGCTGACCAATCGGATTCCGTCTAGCCCGAACTGTCATCGCTGCAAGTAGAGGAAAGAAAGTGGCGGGGATTTCAAATCCACACCGCTTTCACTCCTGTCCTACCACTGACACTAAGCATGGAATGCCTGAAAGGAGGTTTCTCGCATCGCTCCTGTGTGAACTTAGACTATGACAGGCTTGGGTTCACACAGGAAACTGCATGTGATTTGGACAGGAATCACATGCTATTCTTTGCCGTGCAATTTGCATCCATTAACGCAAATCCCACCGCAAAGTATCGGTACTCGGTATCAACGAGTACTTGACTGAAAGTATCGTTACTCGTACTCGCTGATCAAAAAAACTCGGTATCTATGCATCCCTAGTAATTTTCTAGCAAAAATACTGATTGTTACATGTGAACAAAAAGTGCCAGAAAAGGCTTGGTCTGCAAGTGGATAGGCAGGCTGGTTGTACAGCGGTCAATCTACTGATCGACTTCTGTACAACCAGCTTATTGGTATTTTTCTGATTGATCCAAGCCCACTTTTCTATAGCCAGCAGCACTGATCGGTGTATTCTGATGGCAGGGAAGCCTCTCCACTGTCAGAATACATATGTGTGGATGAGGAAATCAGGTCATGTTTTTGTTTCTCAAAACATCTTCTAGCACAGCCCCTAAGACGTAGAGCTCCTCCCTCTGGGACAGAAACACGTAATCCCAGAACCTTAAACGATGGACCTCCAGGCCTCCCTCTTCAGTTTTTTAGTGTTTCCTATGGAAGGACAGATACATGTTCAAAAGAACCTGTATGGGAGCCCTAGGCTTAAGGATGGTACTGGTGGCTCCTGTTTGGTACAGTACCTCCTCTTTGCTCGGTGCGATCCCTCCATGTCTGCAGAGGAGTGGGGCTGTGCTCCTGGTGACCTTCCAGTCCTCAAAGGAGGACCGCCTACAATTATCCAGTGATGCTGACCCAGCCCGCCCCTCGCCTCCCTGGCATGGGCAGCACCCCCCAGCAACCCCCCAAGAGGTTTGGACCATGTGCTTCCCCCTCCTTTGGCGGCGGCCTGCTCTGGAGACTGGGAACCGAGTCAGCTTCCTTGACCGCCGATGAGCAGCCGCGACTTCCAGGAGCTGCGCTCCAAGCTGGTCAACCGAAAGTTTCAGTCGTGGTTATGTCATTGGCGGGCGCCGGGAGACTCCTGGTTCCGGTCTCCATCGCGACGCAGGCAACAGGCTCGGGCGGCCGGTGCGGTGAGAGGGACTCAGCAGAGGCTGTGGCTACCACACCACAAGGGACGTGATGGAAGGAGTTGGGCCCCCCCCCATCAGCTGGACCCTGGTTTCTCAGGCACCGGCTCCTCTCAGTTAGGCTTGGGGACTTGTGGTTCCATCTTGCTGATTCCTGGGGGTGGTCTTTTCTCCCAGTCTCTGAGTCTCAGGTGACGGTGGGGCACACTTCCGTTTGGGATTCCACCTCTATTAGCTTTAAGCCAGCTTTATCGGCCACCTGACAGATTGGAGTTCGACTCCAGTCCCCCCGCCAGGTATCTGGTAACCAATCTTTCCAAGGATCGGGAGAAGGCACAGGCTCTGTGTGGCCTAATTGGAGACCTGGTAGATCAACGGGTCCTTACTCGAGTTCCCCGGAACGAGCAGGGGAAGGGATGTTATTCCCATGTTTTTGAAGTGAAAAAGCCCTCAGGCAAGTTTTGCCTTATCTTAAACCTGCACCCTGTCAATCAGTCTCTAAGATGCAATCACGATGGAATCGATCATCTCTTTAAAGAACATCTTTTACCAAGATTGTTTCATGGCTACGCTGGATCTGAGGGATGCATATCTTCACATCCCCATTCAACATACATGTCAGAAATACTTAAGATTAGCGGTGTAATGATGGGTGCAGAGATCCACCACTGGCAGTGTCGGGCTCTACCTTTTTGGTCTGGCCTCAGCACCGAGAATTTTTACGAAAGTGTTTGTGGGGGCCTTGGCTCCTCTAAGAATTAGGTCTATTACGATTGTTCCCTATCTGGACAATCTCCTCTTCATGAGTTCAATCTCTGTTATGCGTTTCCTCCAGTGAGACTGATCCCAGCAGTCCTGCAGAAATTTCTGTTGGAAAGAACAAACCTCATTCTGGTGGCCCTGTTTTGTAAAAAGAGACCATGGTTTTCTCTGCTGCGGAGCTTGGCCTCGGTTCCCCTGCTCCCTATTCCAGAAAGGGAAGATCTGGTCTCTCAGAGTCTGGTGCTGCACCCTCAGGTGAGAACCTTGAGGTTGGCAACGTGGCTACTGAAGAACAACTCCTGAAAGCTCGGGTTTTCTGACAGAGTAGTAAGGACTTTGGTGAACTGCCGCAAACCAGTTACCAGAGCTATTTATACTAAGGTCTGGAGAAGATTCAACTCCTGGTTGTTAGGTAAGGGTCAGAGCCCTCTGGATATCCCAGCGGTGTTAGATTTCTTCCAGAATGGGGCAGATCAGGGCCTTTCAGTTAACACTTTAAAGGTGCAGGCCTCGGCCCTTACTGTTTTCCTACAGGTTCCCCTCCAGCAA